TTTTCTGTCTTGGTTTCATAGTTGTAGTCAGAAAAGTCAATATATGTTAAAATCCTTCTTGCATTTGTCCCTATTTTAAAATAACAAGGGAGCTAAAAAATAATATAAATACACTGAAACATTATGCAATGTGTGTGAGGCTGGGAGACAGGAGTAATGGGCAGCCATACGATCCACACTCAGCAGATTGGGCCTTGGTCTGAGTTAGTGGCAGTGGCTGCAGGAGAGGGTAGTGGGCCCTTTGCAAGTGCCGGCCAGAGAGCCTGCAGAGCAGACCCCAGGGCCTCTCTATCTCTCTATCTCTATCTCTATCTCTGTCTCTGTCTCTGTCTGTCTCTGTCTCTATCTCTATCTCTATCTCTATGTCTCTAACACACACACACACACACACACACACACACACACACACACACACGCACGCTTCAGCAGGCGCCCTCCCCCATCACACAGCCATCTGTCGTAGGGCACTTTCTTGACAGTAATATTAGTGGACTGTTTAATTCAGCCAGCAAGCTTCTTGCATACATTTACATTTTACTGTCTCCGTTAGGGTCCCAGGGAGCACATGAACGTGGCATATATGATTTTCTGCTGCCTTAGAAAGCCGCCCACAGGGATTTGCCTGGGTGATTTCTGTCTCTACAGCAGAGAGGCAGAGCTCCACCTGGCCAGGGGCTAGAGAACTCTGACCCTAGACCTTCTCAGTGCAGATCTTTGTGAGGCAAAGGGCAGAACAGGGACTGCGTGCCTTTCACCTGCTAGAGACCAGGCCTGCCTTCAGGCAGCCACCACCATCTTTCCTCTGCAGGGATCAGCTTTGCCCCTAAAGTTTGTCCCCAGCCGCTCTGCTAGAAGCTGTGTTAGGTTTGCTGGAAGAGCAGGAAAAGCTGCAGGCGATGTGGGCTGTTGTGATGGGTGTTGTGATGAGGTCCTGGGAAGAAGGAAACCATCAGTAACTCTAGAATGTTCATATCAACTGTTTCTGGTTGTGGGCATGGTGCAGGTTTCTCGTGTCTACAGTTGGTATTGCTGAGCACCTGCTGCTTAATCCCAGCCCTCCGTGCTGCGTGTTTGAGAGCTGAATGGCAGCCCTCCCGGCAGCTGCCATTTTTAGCACTTTTAGCATGAGGACCCCCAAATGTGTTCTGTTCTTTCTTTCCACTTTTGAATCTGGGACTGGTCAACTCATCCCCTGAAATAGCTATTTCCCAAGGTTTTTAGGTTCTTACCTCCAAGTTTAGATGTCAGCATCGTAACCAGAAGGCAGCGCATCTGGGGCTTGGTTTGTTGTTTGCCAATACTCTTGGCAGTGCGAGGAGCACCCAGTCAACATGCAGGAGTAGATTTTTAGTTTATTATCGTTTTAATTCTAGAAATCACTTTTAATCATTTACTTTATGCTAATCCTGTGCTCAGTGTTGTATTGCTATTTTCTCATTTCACCCTCACAACACTTGCGAGTCAGGTATGACCCCCTTGAGGCAGCTGAGGCTGAGAGGAGGTACGTTGCCAGGGCAGCACATCTGAATTGCAGAGCTGTGTTTCAGCAGCAGGGCTGCCTGGTTCCAAAGCTGTGCTTGTAACCACCACTTCTTATTCCAGAAGTTCCCTTGTGTTTGTATTCTGGTCTTAGAGCTGCATTTGAGTGCTTCCACAACCATCCAGGAAAATGTCAGAAAATTTAAGAGAATCACACACACACACACACACACACACACACACACACACACACACCCCACACACACCCCGCCCCCCGTGGGAACTTTCCCTATGAAATGCCCCATTTCACTGTCTTAGGCCACATACAGGCTTCTAGGAGATGCATCAGGAACCTCGAGCCCAGTGTACCCTTTTCTATAGAAAGTTGGCCTGAAACCCTCACCTCCTCTTCAACCTGGTCTGCTGGATTGACAGTCTGGACCTAAGAAAGGAACCTCTAATCTCTCTACATCCAGCCCTCCTCACTCCTCGTCATCAGCCCCCCTGTTTCTCTCTCTTCTGGGATACACATGGCCCCTGTTGGGTCTCCATCCCTCCCTTCTCTCAGAAGGCCCTCAGTTGTCCTGGGCAGGGGAATTGTGTCTCCTCCTACCACCTCTCATTTCTGTGCCGGTTCCAGATCTCGGTGCACAGTCTTGGTGGTCCTGCTACCTTCCCAGGCCCTTCACAAAAGTGTTGGACTGAGGTGGTGGCAGGGGGATGGGCCACCCCTAATGTTGAGTGTGCACATAGGAGCAGCAGGACTATTGTCTTTCTTCACTTTGTAATTGTCCTTAACAGAAGACTTCCAGCTATGAGTCACTTCACTGTGGAGCTCCCTTACGAAAAATGCAGCTTTTTCTAATGAGACCCAATACTTGATTAGTTAAGACTACCTGCTGGCTGTAAAGTTTAACCTTGAAAGTTCTATTATTTCTTTTTCTCTAAGAATGACATTGTGGCATTTGGGGTACCAGTGTTTTGTAACACCTTAATTAACCTCCTTTTGTTCCTTATATTATCTCAGATGGTGATTTATTTTTTAAATTGCTGGTATTTCAAATTCCACTTGGATTCAGGGAGAAGGGAGGTTTTCATGCTGTGTCTGTCAGACTCTTTAAAAAGCACCAGAAATGTCTGCATTTGATGTGTACAGTTAATCATGCCAGTGATGCATAATCTCGAATCAGATTTAGTTGTGCTTTCTATGGCTGTTTAGCAGTCCTGTGAGTGGCAGGGGCGAAGATTTGGTCTTGGCAGAAAAATAACTGCAGTGACTCAGAGCTCCAAAGGGACAGGTGATTGACTAAAAGATCCCATTTTAAAGTGAGCTGGGTTTTACCAGACCTGGCCTCTGCAGGCATCTCAGCCAGCAATCTCATATCTGTCAGCCTGCGAGGTCGCATATTGCAGACCGTTCCTTTCTCCCTGTCTCCCTCCCTCCTTCCCTTCTTTTTGGCCATTGTATCATTTGCAGTTTGCATCAAGAATATATGGAAGGAGAACACAGATATTCAAACCATAAAGCTAATTTAATTACTATAGGTAAGTTTCCTATTTGACTTTAAAGTTCCTGAAGCCAAGGATAAAAGAGAAACAGAATCAGCTATGAAATTCTCATTTTCAGAAGGAAGGAAATATACCTATTCCTATAAGAAAGTTCAGTGTTTCTTAGTATTTAATTTGGAAGTCCTTTTACATGGGACTTCATATAGGGAGCACCAAGAGAGATGGGGACCGAAATTCTTGATTATTTTCCTGTTGTTGAGGCAGAAAGGATTCCATAGGGCTGTCCTTCAGTAAGTCAGAGACCGTCATGCAGGACCGACCGCCTAGGTCTCCCTGTCTCATGAGCTAGGATCAAGATGAATCCTACCCTGTCATGTGGCACAGGCAAGAGTGGGCTCTTCTGGGGACAGGGGCAGAGCACAGAACCAGGGTCAGCAGGGAGAGAAGTGAAGGCATGAGTTCCCCTTCTCCCCACACCCTCAGAGTGGCCTCCCAGGCCTCCCAGCGTGCAGTGAGCCTGTGACCCAGTGGAGGGACCCCGTCCCCACTGCTTCTTCCCCTGTTACAGCTCAGATGTGGGAGCATCTTGTCAATGGTGCAGTAAGCAGGCTGGTGGGCCACATGCTCCACCTGCAGTTCCAGGGAGCTACCTGGGAACGCCTGCTGCTGAGCACGCAGGGACCTTGGGCTGCATGAACTTTCAGCTTCCCCTGCTGGGACAAGAGGTCTCCAGTCTGTGGGAAGTGGAGCTGGATGCAGCCTCATCCTCATTCCAACCAGGGTCAGCTTCCAGAGACCTTTAAGACAGCACCTCTTGGGGACCCCAGGAACTTAGGGTCATGCCAAATAAAAATAACTCAAGAGAGGCTGTGAGGATATGGTTCAAGTATGTAGGTAACTGGAGCCTACTTTGACCCAAAGAGAGAGTTTGGAGTACCTGAAGAGATAAAAATTTCATGGGCTTCAAATGGTATCCTGTGAACATTTTTTTCAGGTTCTTTTTAAAAAATAATTTTTTATTTTTTCAATAACAGTTGGCATACAGTATTATATTAATTTCAGGTATACAACTCAGTGATTGGACATTTATATAACTTATGAAGTGATCACCCCCATAAATCTGGTACCCATAGAATATTATTGACTATATTTCCTATGCTGCACTTTACATCCATGACTTTCTGTAACAACCTATTTGTACTTCTCTCTCTCTCTCTTTTTTTGAGTTCTTTTTCTGAAGTTTTGTTCAATTCTTTCATTTGGGACAAGTTTCTTTATCTCCTCATTTTGGCAGCCTCCTAATATTAATTTTTACATATTAGGTAGAGCTACTATGTCTCCCAGTCTTAGTAGAGTGGTCCTGTAAGGCTCAGTGGCACAGCCTCCTCAGTCAGCTGTGCTGGGCATTTCAGGTGCACACCCCACCCCTGTTTGTGCTGTGTGCACCCTCCTGTTGTAGTTGGGCCTTGATTGCTGTTGACCCGTCAGTGGGAGTGATTCATTCCCAGGCCAGTGGGCTATGAGGACTGGCCATGACTAGAGTGGAGGATGAGTGCCTGATGAGTCTGTCCCTTGAGGATGTGACTTGTGGAGGAGGTGCTTCAATATGGTCTAAAGTTGACCTAATATGTTGGCTCTGGGGCCTTCTGGCATTGCAGGCCAAGGTCATCTACCACCTGTGTCCTGCCCAGGACACCCCACATGAACTACAGAGTGAGCTGCAGATGACTGCTACCTGTGCTAGGCTTGCAACTGCCTGGGAGAGGGGGCAAGTTGGAGGCAGGTTAGCCTGCCAGAGTGTGTGCTGCACGTGTATGTCCAGGCGGAATGTGGGGTTAAGAAATGGTTAAGAATTGACCAGTTTAGAAAGAATGCTGTTATTCCTTCTTCTATTGTATTGTTATACTCCTATGCTGTTCTATCCTATGTTAATATGCTATTATTACTTTTCCATCAAATCACCTCTTTCAGTGTTGAATGCATGAAGTAACATCCACTTTTTCCTCTTGCAGACCCCTGCTCTTCCAGACAAGTGAACACGTGGCCAGTAGTCCTGCTCTGGGGGACACTATTCCATTCAGCATCATTATTCAGTTTTTGTTCACGAGAGCACCCGCTGAGCTGAAATCCCCCTTCCAGGTAACACAGGAAAGCCACAATCCTGTGCAGAGTCTTCCCTCTTCATGAGTACAGTGCCCTCCTCACTGAATGCATTCCTGGCCTTCTCTGTCCTTTTTAGTCATGGATTTCTGTCTCAGCAGCAAATCACTAAGGAAGGGAAATTCCCATTGCTCTGCAGTGTAAGAAGTACCTGATGAATCCAGAATTAGCCCTTTAAATACTAATGACAAGTAATTTATGTTCATAAAGCTTTTTTGATAGAAACCCTATTTCTTTTGCTGGTCCACCTTCAATTGGCAAATCCAAAGGGCTCCTTGGGAGTTAGGAAGGTGCCCCAAGGGCTGAGCCACCTTCCCTAAGGCAGGCGTAGGAGCTGATTTCACCTTGGGAAGCCTTGAGAGCACTTTTTGAACCAGTACTTGTGCCATTTACTGAAGAATGTGTATGCACTTCTCTAACTGTGTTTCAACCTTCAGAGGGCAGAGTGGTCCCATGCACGCTTCTCCCAGTGGCTGGATGACCACCCATCTGAAAAGGACAGACTCCTCCTCATCAGGTAAAGCCATGTGTTCCACGGGTACCCGTCTCCTCTAGAAGCCCAGGGAGAGTAGGAGACGCAGGGGAAGAGGAAGGAACAGTGCCTGGGTGGATGTGTACATGTGGTAGCACCTCCTCACATCAGGCACCTCACTGCACAGGCACACGTGCTAGAGCATCTGACAGTCAGAACCACTGGGCACAACAATTTTTGCTTCCCGGTTCCTTCACTTCCAAACCTTCATATCCCTTTTGTGCTGTCCCATGCCTGATGCAGCCCTGAGAACTATGCACTTCTGGTTTTGAAAACCAGCTTTAGCTATGAAGGCTCCTCATTGTCTTGGCTTCTCATTTTCTGCTTCATTTTCATGGGTTGCAGTTACTGATTTAGTGGAGCACAGATACGAATAAACTTTTAAAAATACGCAAACATGATGAAATTATTAGTAGAAAACGAGGACAACCCAGCAGCTATTTAGATACCATGTGCCCTCCAGTAGTGCCCACAAATGTATGTATGTGTGTACGCATGCACAAGACACACCCCTTCCACCCAGCCACACCCAGGGCGGGAGGCTGTAATTGTCACATATAACCTAGTAAGCATCTCTCTTCCATCAGCATCTCCTCTGCAGTTGTTCTCACCACAATCTCCAGAGACCTCTTAGCCACCAACCCAAGGCATTTCTTTTTTTTTTTTTAATTAAATCTTTATTGTTCAAATTATTACAGTTGTTTCTCTCCCCCCCCACCCCCCCATAGCTCCCCTCCATCCGGTTCCCACTCCACCCTCTGCCCTCATCCATAGGTGTACGATTTTTTCCCCCAGTCTCTTCCTGCACCCCTCACACTCCCTTCCCCCTCGAGAATAGTCAGTCCACTCCCTTTCTATGCCCCTGATTCTATTCACCAGTTTATTCTGTTCATCAGATTATTTATTCAACTTGACTTTTAGATTCACTTGTTGATAGATATGTATTTGTTGTTCATAATTTGTATCTTTACCTTTTTCTTCTTCTTCCTCTTCTTAAAGGATACCTTTCAGCATTTCATATAATGCTGGTTTGGTGGTGATGAACTCCTTTAGCTTTTTCTTATCTGTGAAGCTCTTTATCTGACCTTCAATTCTGAATGATAGCTTTGCTGGGTAAAGTAATCTTGGTTGTAGGTTCTTGGTATTCATCACTTTGAATATTTCTTGCCACTCTCTTCTGGCCTGCATAGTTTCTATTGAGAAATCAGCTGACAGTCATATGGGTACTCCGTTGTAAGTAACTGACTGTTTTTCTCTTGCTCCTTTTAAGATTCTCTCTTTATCTTTTGCTCTTGGCATTTTAATTATGATGTGTCTTGGTGTGGTCCTCTTTGGATTCCTTTTGTTTGGGGTTCTCTGCGCTTCCTGGATTTGTAAGTCTATTTCTTTCACCAGGTAGGGGAAGTTTTCTGTCATTATTTCTTCAAATAGGTTTTCAATATCTTGCTCTCTCTCTTCTTCTGGCACCCCCATAATTCGGATGTTGGTACGCTTGAAGTTGTCCCAGAGGCTCCTTACACTATCTTCATATTTTTGGATTCTTTTTGTTTTTCCGGTTGGGTGTTTTTTTGCTTCTTCGTATTTCAAATCTTTGACTTGATTCTTGGGATCCTCTAGTCTGCTGTTGGATCTCTGTATAATATTCTTTATTTCAGTCAGTGTATGCTTAATTTCTAGTTGGTCCTTTTTCATATCCTCGTGGGTCTCACTAGATTTATGGAGGGTCTCACCAGTTGTAATCTGGTTGGTCCCACTCTGACCACTGGGTACACTGGCTCTTGGATCTAAGGAGGTGCTAATTTAGCCTCTGTCGGAGGCTACCCCGCAGGAGCTACAGAGAGATCTGCAGATTCCTTTTCTTTGTTTGGGGTTTGAGGTGCCCAGATGAGGCCCAGCTGTGAGGCAATACAAGCTGCTGCGGGGCCTTGGGCTTTCTTTTGGATGTTCTGGGTCTCTCTGACCCAGCTGCAGTTTGTTAGGTAATTTTAGATTGCAAAGCACCAGCCTTTTCATATGCAAAAGCCTCTGCCCACAGCTTGGGTGGGGCGGGGTCTTGGAGAATCAACTGGGCGGAGAAAACAGCTATGGCTGATCCTCAGTCCTGCCCTAAGAGGCCCTGGGCCTCAGTGATCCTCGGTATTCGCTGCAAGTACCTCTGAGAGAAAGCCGCCCTTGAGTTCCACCCGATGCCAGACAGTCCAGTTTCTCCCTGTATGAGTCTGGGTCCCCAGAGACTCGCCCAGAACTGGAGCTCAGGACCATCGGGAGCTTGTGTCTCCCTCCCGATTGAAAAAGACAACTGTGTCCTCAGTTGCCAGCCCTTTCCGCGTGCGCCTTTGTACCTCTGCACTTTACTTCCGCACCTCCTCTGAGTCTCAGTGTGCTTTTCTCTTTCCTTCTAGTTGTAGAATTTCCACTCAGCCAGCCTTCCTGTGGTTCGGGATGGTGTCCGTTTTGTCTTTTAGTTGTATTTTTGAAGTGGTTGTGCGAGGCAGCAATTTCCAGTGTTTACCTATGCCGACATCTTGGCCTTCTCTTCATTTTCAGTTTGTATCCTTTCCCCAAGGCGTTTCTGTTCTTACACTATGCAGCTTTAGCTGGAGTTGACCACTGCCTCCTTCTTGAAACTCCTCATCAACTCACTGATAGAACACATTTTCCTTGATGCTCACTATGTGCCAGGCCCTGAGGACACAGAGCAAACTGAGACACAGCCCTGCCTTCTTGGAGCTTCCACGGCACCACGGTTAGGTGTTTCATTGCGCACCTTGATGGCCATTATTTCCCTCAGTCTCAATGGCTGAGTTGACTCTGTCCACTCCTTAAGTGCCATCGTTTCCCACATTTTGTTCTTGGCTCATTTTCCTTCACATTCTATCTGTACTTTTGTTCCCACATGAGCTCATCCAGACGCATGACTCTGGTGGTCTCTTCTGTCCAGTGGCTCCCAGGTCTGTGATTTGCCACGACTGCCTGGAGCCTTAGGCCAGCAAACTTGCTGCCATATGTCACCACTCAAAGTGACACAGAAATCTCACCCAGAAATGTTAAAAATAAATAATCTTTCCTCTCAACTCTGCTCAGTGTTCTAGATGCCACGTCTTGGATAAAATGGCACCAACACTTTCCTAGCAAGCTAGAACCTTGAAGTCATCATTCAGCTCCTCGTCACCCTCACCCTCCAAATCCATCAGCTGTACCTCTTCAGTACCTCTTGAAACCATTTTCAGTTCTCCCAGAGGGTCCTGATGATGTTGATGGGACCACGGCCCCAAGCAAGGCTTTTTTGAGCCTAAGTGCAGGCAATAGTTGCAGAGCTTTGAAAAATGTGGCATTCAGGCCACAGCCTTGACTATCTGAGAATCTCTGAAGCTGGGAGTTGGCATAGGATTTCTTATAGCTGCCCAGGCAGCTCCGCAGCACAGGTGAACAGACTGGTGTTAGGGGAAAGACAGCACCCAGGAGGGAGGCTGTGAGAGGCCGTTGAGGAGCACCAGCCCAGGCTCAGGGAGAGGCACTGAGCTCTCGGGCTGGTGCCAGAGCCTACCTGAGCCGCTCACTCTCCACGCCTCTGTGAATAAAGAGTAGATTAGCCCAGCCCCTGCTCTTCGTCCTTGCTTATCTGTTACTCTTCTCAGCTGTAAGCATCTGTCTGACCAGGAAGTGAGGGTGCCAGGTGAGCCTCCAAGCTCAAGAGATGGTGAAAACTGCCCTCAGAAAAGGTTTTTGGGCCTGGGTTAAACCAGGGATTTGCAGTGTATTTGTGGATTTTTTGTTCTGAGTCCAAAACACTCACTCTGCTACCACCCCCTTGGTACTAGAAGAGTATTTAGAATTTAGTTCATTGAACACGGTTCATTTTTGTTTTCCTAACAAGTTGGAATTAGTTCATCCACAATAGTTGTTCTGCTGTGGACACATCACAAATCCTTTTTCTCCTTTTTAAAAATGTCTCCTGGGTGATTTCATCAGCAGTGCTGTTGCTAAGCCTATATTTAGCAACTGAAAATCATGCTAAGAAATAATGTCATGCTTTTTAAATAAGGTCTATCCATCCTCCACATGTCTGACAGCGGAATCTTCACGCTCCGAGCAGCACGTCCAGCCTCCCTGAGGATCCCAGCAGCGGCTCCTGCTGCCGCCGGCGGGGGGCCAGGCAGGGAGCTCTGTCCTTGGGCTGTTCCCTCCTGTCTGCTACTGCGAACTGACTTTGTCTAAAGCACCACTGCTGTGTTTTTTCCCCTGTAGATACACCAGGGCTAGCATTGCTCTTTAAATGTCAGTAAATTCATTTTAGCTTCTGGGGCAAACCTTGTTATATACTCTCTGTTCCTCCTGGCACAGTATGCTAGGTTGTCATAAACTAGGACAAATTGCGGATCGTGGGACTGCTGCTGCTGAACAAATAGCAAATGATGAACCCTCTTCTGCCTTCCTTTCTGTTTCCTTCGGACACAGATGTTCCTTTAGAGCTTGAGGGATACTGGTCAAGTTAATTTTAAAATTAGAGTGACTACTGACTCCTAGGGCCAAGTGGTACCTCCTCAGCTCCCGCCAGTCAGGTCCTCCAGATGTGCGTGCCCTCGGGTACCGGTACGAGGCTGCCCCCCAGGGAAGACTGGATCTGTAACTGCTGAATGTGTTCTCAGTAAAGATGAAGGCTGAGTTTTGATGGAAAGATTTCTAAATCTTCGCAGAAGTGTTAGTATTGGCCTCAAGCCCGTTATTCTTGAGGTCTGCAATGGAGCAGCAACTCTTCTTACTGTGATCTTCTTGTCCTTTGCATGTCCTTAGCCTAAGAAGAAGAACACATTTCTGGTGTAAAAAATGTTTACAGACTTTATTTGCCTATTCGTACTTCTTATATATACAATTATCATCCCATTCTCAGTGCAGGTGCATCCCTGGACTCCTGCCCTCCTGCCTGGTCCAGGGCCCACAGATAGGAACCATTTCCTCAAATCCCTGTAGATGGAGGCCTCTCC